CGATGCCCCGACGAGGGGTCAGATTTCCCCGACGAAATAATAGCTGTTGTCCCTAAATGTAATATGTCATTATTTATATTGCGCTGTACCAGAACAACGATATAAACAATACAGATAAAAATACAAATAACAATTTATAAAGGTGCCTTTTCATAAATTGTTATTTGTATTTTTATCTGTATTGTTTATATCGTTGTTCTGGTACAGCGCAATATTAATAATGACATATTACATTTAAGGACAACAGCTATTATTTCTTCGGGGAAATCTGACCCCCCCGGGGCCCTGGGCGGCCCCAGACCCTCAACTAATGGGTCGTGGCAGCGAAGATGTCACGGGGCTCGTGGCTGCTCTTGGCGGCCCTGTTGACGGTAATTAGTATGACCGAATTTGAGCAAACAATAATTATCACACATAGCACCTTTATTACATTTAGACCCAAAACTTATTACAATTAGAACCTTTATTACATTTAGACCCAAATAAAAGGATTTCACATAGGACCTTTATTACATTTAGATCCAAAACTTATTACAATTAGAACCTTTATTACATTTAGACCCTAAAATTATTACACATAGGAACTGTATTACATTTAGACCCAAAAATTATTACAATCAATCAATCATTTGTCAATCATGGCCATTATTACACTGCATTTAAGACATTTATTACATTTAGTCCCAAAAATTCTTAGAACCTTTATTATATTTAGACACAAAAATTATTACACATAGGACATTTATTACATTTAGACCCAATAATTATTACGCTTTGACCCTTTATTACATTTAGACCCAAAACTTATTACACATATGACCTTTATTACATTTAGGCACAAAAATCATTCCACTTAGAACTTTTATTACATTTAGACCCTAAAATGCATAATACTTGTATTTTATTTAGACCCAAAAATTATTTCAATCAATCATTTGTCAATCATGGCCATTATTATACTTAGGTCATTGCACTTAGGACCTACATATATTTATTTATACATTCTCTCATAATGTATGCATGTTCTGCTGCCTTTCTTTTCCCTTCTTTCACGAGCCATCGAAATTGTCATACTGTTTTAGTGGAGTCTTGCGCTCTACAATAAGTTCAGAATATCTGAAGCTTCATTTTGATTTCCTAATTCTGGCAACACCAAATCATAAAGTTTGAATTCTGGCAACAGCATTAGGCTCGATGCCAATTCGCCATTAAATGCTAAAAACCGATGTTATTAAGCAGAATCTGAATGAAGAAACACCGTAAGATATTGTTAGGAGCACACAGTAGGTAAAAAGACAAGTTTTGAAGATAGAAGTGTTACAGTACTAAAGTGCATTAGCGCCGTACTTACTTTTATCTTTGTAAAAATAGGTTTTGATGTAGAGCGCTTTGATTTTTTTTTTGATTTTTTTTTTTGTTAGGGTGCTATATACAGTAAATGTTTATTAATAATAATAATGATAATAACAATTACTAAGTATAATATAATTATTATAAGAAATTTGTAGACCCTAGGTTCCAACTATTACCTTAAAGCACCATTCCCAGCAAAATTTCAGTTCTTAGAAAAATCTGATTTTTATATGTTATAAAAATTTATAAATATAATACAGAATTGCTAGTTTAACTGAATTTAGGCATTCCTAAACATGAAGAAAATGTTACATAAGACTGAAATTTGAATTTTTTTATGTTTGATTTTGCGATAGGCGCCGGAAACGGGCTATCAACACCTGTCTCTTATACACATCTAGATGTGTATAAGAGACAGTTGTTTGTACTGTCTGTGTGTTTGAATTTTTTCAATAAAAAATCCATGTCATGAATTATTTGATTGTGTTTAATGGACCCCAGGCGTTTACATCAAGCTACCGCGGTATCCCCGCTTTTACAGCTGTACATGATTGCATTTGCAAATGGATCACGGTATTCCCAAGTAAACTTACAACTGTACACGTTTATCACGGTCAATCACCCTTATCGCGGTATAACCGCGTTATCTTGAAGAATGACATTGGATTGCGGTAGCCAGCCACTGCAATGGCCCGCGTATAGGCTAAAGTTCTACTAGTTGTAAATAATCTCGATGATCTCGATTGATAAAAAAAAATATAATCTTTTTTCCGTGGAAACGTCACATCAACTACAACAGTAACCTACTTTAGCGAGTGTTATGACCCGATATTCTCGCATGAGCGTCGTCGGCGCATTTATCGTCCTCGTTTGAGCAACTTGTGTGTGGATATTGATTCGGTGTACCTGCGTATTTGATAGCCTACAGATATATGTTTCGATTGCGATGGATCGCGGTATCCCCGCGTAAATAATTTGTATACATTCATCTCGATTCCACTTATAAACATGTGTTAAATATTACAATTATATAATATTATCAATGTAGCCAACCAGTATAAACAATTTAAAAGAAACTAGAAATAATGAAAGTTTTGCTGTATTCATTATCATTTATCAGCAAATACTGTTCTGTTATTTTCTTCTTTTCATATTGCATTGTAAAATACAATACAATGCAATTCAAAAAGTCATTGCAAATTTTTATAAAGAAAATAAATGTGTTGTTGATAAATGTTCATACAAGGAAAAACCTTAATAATATCTGGTAATATTTCTCAACACAGTGTATGGTATGATGTCATATCAAATAGATAACAACATTCATACAAACAGTATACAGTTCCAATCTGATAGGACTACAGTACTTTCAATTGATTCATGTTTCTATCCATGGCCTATAATATGGCCTGAATTGTCACCAGATCCTTATCCCCCATGTAGTGACAAGCTTCATCCTGATTTGCAATAGCAGCCTCAAGTAATTCCACCACTCAATGTTTCACATCTTACTAATCTCTCTAATTTTTTTTGCTCTATTAAAAGTACTTAATATATTATTGTCTTTTTACAAAAAAAAAATACATGGGAAAACATGACTTCGACCAGGAAGCACTTCTTTAATTCTTGACTCCAGCTTTCAGGTGATGCAGAATGAGCATTTGCTTTGGCTGTGGTTCATCAACTTCCATTCACTTGATTCTGTGGTCTGTGAAAATTAATTAAAAAAACTAATTCAAAGAGCTTATCAATGCTACTGTGATGGTTTTAATGATCAAATATGTATTTAAATTGTTTCTTTTTAATCAAAGGTTGTTTTCCAAAAAAAAAAGGAAAAAAAAAGAAAAGAAAAATAAGTAGTATCAGTATAATACAATATTAAATGCAGGTGGTGATGTTTAATTGGACATCAAAGTGTTGATAATTATTTGCTTAAGTCAGTTTGATACCTATTAATACATATATTTTTTGTTATGTTGTGTCTAAGGATTCCTATGTAGATAAAGCATATTGTACAATTAATAATAATTTTGTTATATTCTTTTCATGAAGACATTAAAATCAAATTAAGCCTGAATTACTTAGTCTAATCACAGTCACTGAAGGGCACATCCCCACCACAAAAAAACTGAATTGATTCAATTTGTGTAGTAAATGTTCTTGGTAGACAGTAGTACCGGTAAATAGTTGCTATATAATTGTGGATGGCTATTCTTGATTTGTCTTCATGGTCAGTTGTTTATGCTAGGTCGATTCATTGCCAACATTATTGTCTCAATATGCTTATTACAATATAACATCATCGTATTTGATTCACAATAATCTGTGGTTATTTTGCTGTCGGTAGTACCCCAGTTTGAGGAAAAGGCAGGCCTTCCTGTCTGTGTGTGTGGTGTGATAGAGAGACGCTTAGTGCTTCTCAATTAAGTAAAACATACCATACCATTTTTAACGTTATATGTAACAACACACGTACCTTTAAACAGATTCGGTGCAATTTTGATTACTACTACTTGCACCACCATCCCTGAGATCCCCTTCGTTATATATTTAGGCTATTCATCAGCTTCGACGGAAACTTAATAGGCCTTACTGAGGACTCATATTTGTTGTTTTCCACAGAGTTGCACATCCTTAAATTTCTTTAAGCTGTTTACGCTTAATGACACAACCATACTCTAGGTTCTTACAACATGTATCACAAAAATATGCCTGAAACCGGCTCAGATTTATCACTGTCTCTTATACACATCTAGATGTGTATAAGAGACAGCAATTGTGTTTAGTAGATAGAAATTAAAATATGTTCAGGAAAAAAGTAAAAGTATTTAATTCTATCTATAATAATCAATAGATTTGATTGCCGACAATCAAATTATGTTACAATTTATTAGTATTGACATTTTTGTGCAAAAGCCAGGTAGCCCGGATTGGTGGGTCACAGAATTGAACGTTTTCGATCCTCAACCCACGGTCTATTAGCAGTACAGCGCTTTGTTAATTGTTTGTATGGAGGTCTATTGTTAAATTTTATTAACAGTTTTAAAAATAGAATTGGAATTTCCAACGTATGGAACGTCGCTTCCCATAAAACATAAAATCAAGGCGTACTCGGATATGGAACGTCGCGTCCGTTATTACCGGTTATTACAGCTATACTACTGCTGATATAAACTACATAGTTATATTTACACCGTGCATTGCGGAGTACGTTAATTTAAGGATTTTACGTGCTCGACGTACTTTAGTTACGGGTTTTCGCATGCGTATTTCGATTTGTTTATAAAAGGGCG